CCCCCACCCCCCCCCCCCCACACCCACCCCCACACACCCACCCCAACACCCCACATACCCACCCACACCCACACCAACACCCCACACACCCACACCCACCCATACCCTCACACCCACACCCACACCCCACAATGTAAAATCGGGCCTAGATAGTGGTTCGGACTATATGAAGAAGAAAGAGCTTTTGAGAGGTCTTATTATGATATTCGTAATCAGCACACTTTATTGTATAAACACATGTAGTTTTGATCGGCAAAAAGCGAAATTTATTTTTCGACAATACCTGTGGGGGACCCCAGGGACGAAAATCGACGATCTCATTTTTTTTCAAAATAAAGCTGAAATAAATGATCAGGGGTCATACCATATTCAAACCTAATAGAAATAAAACAATTCCGAAGAAGTTCAAAAAATCGGCCTTATCCGCCCTCCTCCTTTGATTTATCATCTGAAGAAAAATATTTAAGAAAATTTTTAACTGATGATGTTATTAGAGATTTATATACAAATGAATCATTACAATTATTAGATGATGAATGGAAACAATTAAATGAAGATAGATGTAATTTAAGACAAATATTTCCAACTGGTGATACATCAAAAATTGTTTTACCTTGTAATTTAGAAATATTAATTTATAATGCTAAAAAAATTTTTTCTATTTCAAATCAAACACAATCTAATTTATCACCTAAACAAGTTATTCAAGGTTTACAAAATTTAACTAAACATTTAATTAGTGTTAAAGGTGATAATAGATTATCTAAAGAAGCACAATATAATGAAACAATGTTAATGAATATATTATTACGTTCATCATTATCGTCACGTCAAGTTCTTGAAATTCATCGTTTAACAAATGAAGCATTTAATTGGCTTTGTGGTGAAATTGAAACACGTTTTCAACAAACTCAAGTTCAAGCAGGTGAAATGGTTGGTGCTTTAGCTGCACAATTACTTGGGAACCAATAACACAAATGACATTAAATACATTTCACTATGCTGGTGTATCAGCTAAAAATGTAACACTTGGTATTCCACGTCTTAAAGAAATAATAAATCTATCAAAAAAACCTAAAACTCCATCATTAACTGTTTATTTAACTGGACAAGCAAGAAATGATGCTGAACAATGTAAACAAGTCTTATGTCGTCTTGAACATTGTACATTAAGAAAAGTAACAACTAATACAGCTATTTATTATGATCCTGATCCACAAGAAACAGTTATTAATGAAGATCAAGAATGGATTAATACATATTATGAAATGCCTGATCAAGATATAAAAAATATTTCACAATGGTTATTAAGAATTGAATTAGATAGAAAATGTATGACTGATAGAGAATTAACTACGGAACAAATTTCTGAAAAAATTTATCAAGGTTTTGGTGATTGTCTTAATGTTATATTTAATGATGACAATGCTGAAAAACTTGTTTTAAGAATACGTACTACTGATCAAATTAATTTATCAACAGAAGAAGAACAAAACGATATAACACATATGGATGATAATACTTTTCTTCAATGTTTACAATCTGTAATGCTTTCTGATTTAACTTTACAAGGGATTGAAGGTATATCAAAAGTTTATATGATTCGTTCAATATTTGATGATACACAAAAGAGAATTCAAATTAATCATAATGGAGAAATTGAAAAAATTGCTGAATGGATATTAAAAACTGATGGAGCAGCTTTAAAAAGAAGGTGTGGGTGTGGGTGTGGATGTGGGTGTGTGGGTGTGGGTGTGGGGTGTGGGTGTGTGGGGTGTGTGTCTTGTTTTTATCTACACCCACACCCTATGTACCTATTACATGAATTAAAATGACTTTATGACCTACAGAATTCGATTTGAAAAGAGAAAGAACTATTCTACTAGAGACAACTTTTAATATGCTTTACAATATGGACAGACCAAAAGAAGAATATGAGAATAAAAGTTTTTAGCTTGGAAAACCATTCTATAAAGGCCTAAGGGCAATTCTCATGCCGATGTTCAGAATTAACATAGTTGATAACTAATAATTTTGTAGCTTTCATTGAAAAAAACAATCAGACATTTGAATTGATCTGTCGAGAGATAAAAGCTATTTTAATAAATACATTAAAACCTCTGATAGTGAGCACCTCTCCATGATGAAAATATCGTTATTAGTAGCGTTTTTGATCAGTTCAAAAAAATCAAATTTTGCTGAAAATGTACGTCCCAAAAGTGAGCATCTTCTTATTGTGAACGGTTTTGAATAGTTCCAATTGTGCTCACTTTCGAGAGACTTCACTGTATAAAGGGATTTTCTAGATATAATCGATATGCCGATTCAAACACTCTCACATGATTGTCACAAATAAACGAAAAGAATCTCATTATGATAAAGTGACAATATAACTTTTGTTCATCGTAATGTAATCTTAAAAGGCATCTACTAACTTTAATATAACTCATATATGCTTCCTTTTATTTTGAGCTCTTGTTTGATCAAGATTCATAATTCTTGCAACCGATCTTCTGTGCAGACATTAGTTCAATGAGTTGCTGAAATCAACCAATGAATTTTGTTTAAATATTCGGCATATGGAGTTGAGAAAAAAATCGAGATAAGTAACCTCTTTTATGGATTTTATTCGTTTTTTAAATTCCTAGAACTGAAGCATAATGTTAGAAATTAATTATTAGTAGAAGAATAATATTAATTTCGTATACTTTTTATTAGACCAAGTAGACAATGATAGATTTACTATAATACAAATGATTCGTAGAAGATTAGATCCTTCATTAATTTATCCGAAAAATTTTGCTCGGGAACATATTGTTCGAAAAAATTCGTTTTAAAAACTGAGAATCGAACATAATTCATACCTAACTAATATATGCAACAAATGACACTTGAGAAAAAAATACCATATAATAGTATAAATATATATTTTTTGTGAAATGCAGTAGAAAATGAAAAAAATACAATATGTATGTGATGAACTAATACAATCAATCAACATTTTAGAATTTTCAAGCAGTTTTCTGAGTAGTGAATTCGGTCATTATCAGTGTCAAAACATTAATGTCCCAAATAATATAGTAATCATAATAATATAATAATAAGGGTATTGTATTTTTCATGTACTATTGCATTTCACAAAATATATATATTCATACTTTTATATGATATTTTTTCTCAAGTCTCATTTGTTACATAGAATTCGTATAATTTGAAGTTATTTAAAACTTGATTTTTCTTTTCAAATTTTTCACTTGATTATGGCTAAAATACCTGTTAAAACATGTTAATATATAATTATGTTATTGTTATATGTTTATGTTTGTTTCCATCTCCATATGTTTATATCAGAAAATGTTCACTGTTGGTTTATATATCTATATATTTATATTATGATGGTAGTGATTATTGCTATTATCATATTATTATTGGTGTTTTGATGCTGATGATGACCGAATTTCGCCATTTAGAAAACTGGTCAAAAATTCTAACGAATATAAGTGTGAAATACGCACATTCGATAACGATACGAGACGTCTATGGATCATCAAATATACCTGTCTTTTTCTTAATATACATTGTCAATCAACTTAATAAGAATCCATATTAAATTGCTCGTAAGAGTGCTTGCGGAAGAGATGAATCATATTGAACTCCACTCACACGAGATATGCCATATATACTTTGAAAAAAGACCATAACCAATGGCAGTAGTTACTGAAAGCGAAAACCAGTCTAAAATCAGTCTTTCTTCTTTCATCTTCTTAGACGAAAAATTTTTATTTTTACGCAAGTATTAAATTTGCCATAATAAAAATACACAAAAAAGTTGACAAACAACAAAAAACAAATATCTCCTTAAATATTTTATTAAGATTAATGTCAAGAAATTTTTGATGAACGACGTGCACGTTTGACTGATGCGCACTTAACTCCAAGAAAAAAAAGCAAAGGCAAGACAAAGCAAGAAACCAACTAATTGTACCACAATCATTGATATGTATCGTAAATCATAGAGAATTTCCATTGGTCGGCATGCAGTAGCACTGACCCATTGATTGCATATAGAAGAGCCAATGAGACATATGAGTATCTTACGACACCAACGGAACCATTGATAAGGATTTTCAAGGCAATCACGAGAAACATCATTTGATAAAAGCTTAGCTGCAATAATTAAGAAATAAGAGGCGAGACACACTATGATATTAGTTGAATTCATATATGTATAACTATCAATATTGTCAACAGGAACTTTTAATGATAATGAACATCGATCTAAATAAAAATACCAGTACAAAAAACTAGATGTAACTATTGATCGATAATAATAAAATCTATATCGAAGTGATAAGAATATAGTGAGTAACCAACTGCCCTTAAAGTTTTCTTTCTCTTGATTGTTTGTCCACTTCATGCAGATCTCTTACGAGAATTCATTTTTCATTTATTCCTGTATATGAGCCAATCCATATAAGCTACGACCAACTTTCATAGCAGCTGCTCAATTAAGGTCGTCAGATTTTGCTCAATGTAGGACATGTTGTAGGAGCAAGAGTTTTAAGAATTCTGAGTCAAATCGTTGAGAAGACTAGGATTCCATTATCGAGATATTTAAATTTCTCTGAAGTAACTGTCGTCAAAAAAGCACATTTTTTTTTTACATCTATATCTCATCAAGGAGTCATACATTTTACTTGAAATTTTTATTGTGAGTAGATATCATGATTCTGTGTTATTGGAAAAACTGAGCTTAAATGGATAAACTATCGACAAGTTGCCCAATACACTGCCGGCTACACGGCAAAATGGTCATTTTTTGGTATTTTGTGCATACAACTATCTTATCAATGGATCGCGTTAGATAGTTCAAATTTTAGCTATAGAGAGATCTCATTGAGTACTTAGTGCAGTAAAAAATTCAATTCTCTACATAGTTCCTATCATTCAGGAAACCTTCCACAAAATCATGATGTTGATTAAAATCGCAACTTTGGAAAAATTCGATCTCCCAAAATATGGAACGTAGCATTCGAACTTATGTAGTTTTAAAGTACCTACTGAGTATCAGAAAGCTATGTAAAAAAGGCTGCAGAGATGGACAAGTCATTTCGAAAAATCTTTATATCTTTTCTCATTTGAAGAGCGTGTTTCTAATTTCAATGTGGCTAGGTTTAGAAATATTCAGGCTATAAAATGATATATTATGGTTAAAGTTTTTCTTCATCAAAAACGCTGTAATATCTTTAAAACACCTTGACTTGATGAAAATGGCTTGGCTTAATCAAGTCAAGTCATGGTGTTTTACAAGTATTACAGCTCTTCTTATGAAGAAAAACTTTAACCATAATATATCATTTTGTAGCCTGAACATTTCTAAAGTTAGCCACATTGAAATTAGAAGCACGCTCTTCAAATGAGAAAAGGTATAAAATATTTCCGAAATGACTTGCTCATCTCTGAAAGGGTGTGAATCAAGGTGACAATAATAGTCACATTCATCCACTTTGGTGTCAACTAGTAGATCCGTGGTATTCTTGATCTAGCAGAGTCAGAATAAAAAAGGACATCGCGGTGTCGCGTAATTGATATTTAAGTTAAGACAAAGCTCAACATTACATGTCAAAGTTTGCCAAGAGAAAGAATGGTATGGATATAAATGTGAGTCTCCTCTTGAACCACACCCACGCCCTCAAGTTGAAAGAGCATTTTAGAAAACTAAATGCAACTACGTATTGTAGAGAACTTCGAACTAAAAAGATCTAAACGCAAAATCGTTTACAAATAGGCTGAGATCTTTCAAAAAATTAAGTTTACTGGCCGTTGGCGAAGTCACAGAGTACGAATACGGAAACGAAAAATACTCTTATTATTAAATGAGAAATCCAAAAAAGTAATTCTAGATAGTATAGACCTTTCTTAGGAATCTCCTGATTAAAAGGCAATATTTTCGCTTCGAAAGATGACGGACATTCTGGAATATCGACTTAAGGGAGGATATTTTTCAGAGTTCCATCTTGTCAAAAATTTTACCATTGATATAGTTTGCAGTATGTAGAGTCTATCTTAAAAATTTCGAATTTTTCTGTATTACGACTAGAGAGTTATACGGTAATTACTTTTCCATTTATTTATATATTAAAAACTAATTCGCTGTCAGATGGAAAACATTTTTCATTATATTCACGATGAAAGAGTCGGTTCCAAAAAGTAACTTTTAAAAAGAGCTAAACTTCAATGAACGGGAAGTCTTCCATTTTGGCTAAATTTGTCCATATATCATCGTTGAGAAAAAAAAATTTATGTGCTGATAATTCGGATAAGTTTTTGCATTATAATCATGTTGCATGAATCGAATCAATTCTGAAAACTTCTCAAATAATAAAATTGCAGAACATACTCATAACTGTTATAATCTTGATTTATTAATTGATTTGAATCGAATAATTAATGTTTAAATTCTTCGAAAAATACTCTAATCTATAACACTCACGATTTGTAGGCTCCACACTTTGACCTTTCATGAGGCCATGATAACAACTTTTTTCCTAATAAAATAAATGCAACTACTCACTCGCCAACACTTGCTCGTAATGTGTATGCATTATCAGCGAGTTATTAGCTGTTGATAATGTTGATTCTGTATGGCCGATTGTATGAAAACGTATTAAAGTTGGCCAAAAACAAAAATGAACACACGCTATTAATACAATACAATGTATTGATTGCAACGCAGTACACCAGTTGAATAAACGACTCATTCTTGTTTTCCATCTGACAAAAAATCAATAAATAAATCATCTGAGCGTAACATTCGATACATATTTAAAGATGAATCCACAATGTATTCGTCATCAATATGAATTTTCCTCTTAATAATAGATCTTCGGAAGCAATCTATAGCCAATTGTGTGAAACTCACATATATTTTCGAAGAAAATAGCCAATGTAAGTTTAATGTCAAGTTTTTGCGGCTTTCCACCCCTCTTCCCATTACAGACAGTCTCCCCCCTCGCCCTCCCGCCATTACATACCTTAGCAATCGAGAATAAAAGATGTTAGATTTTCTAGATTTTTTTTTGTTTTGAAAAATCGATCAAGTTATAATTTTGAAAGATAATGAATATCATTATTTGTAACTTGATTAATATCTATGATAGTGTGCAAGATCTACTGTAGGTATCATGGATCTGTAAAACACTCTTATTTGTCAATCAATTCAATGATAATAATAATAAGAATGGGTGAGGCTAGAGAGCATATGTGAGTTCCACATTTCAACTTCAAAGGAGCTGCGCTAACAGGCTTTTTCAAGAATGTTTCTCATAAGTAGCATCTCTCTCATATCGAAACAAATAACGTAGTCAAGCTTCACAGTAGTCTCCTGTCATTCAGAAAATCCAAATAGAAAATCTCAAAAAAAATTTGCGAGAAAAACTTCTTTAATAGACCAAAAACACTATCATGGTTTTCTTTTATTCAGACAAATATAGAAGGCAATTTAATTATTAAAAAGAAAAATAATACGATGAGACAATCGTCAAACAATTAAAAATTGAAATACTTGGCGGAATTAGCAAACTGATATAAAAGTAATTTAAATGATCATACATAAATTGGAATTTTTGATTTCTTCCTGTTATATCATAGACAACATACATTTTGTTATATAAATAATTAAACAGATCACTTTTCTTTTATCATATTCAAACTACAGAAAAATTTATTTTAAATAATAAAAACTTTTTTTCTGACACAAAACTAATTTCTGTAAGAAAAGGAACAATCATCAATGCAAGAGATGTTAGTTTATACATTAAAATCAATAGTAGAAAAACTCTTAGCAAGAATTCTAATCATCAAGAAATTGTTTTTCTCTGTCTATTTTAGAAGATTTCTTCATTTTTAGACTTTCTCACAATTCTATCATAAATTAGTTCAAATACTATATCAAGGCGTTAATAATAAACCATATGTGATCTTATATCAATAACCTATCATGTCTGTGAATTGGAAGGTCCGCATTTTCATCTCCATGCTTCAGTACTTCTTTTAGACCGTGTTCTCTAAAATAATAACTAGAAAAAATCTTTCATCGTCAGAAGTAAACCTGTTATGAGAGATTTACACGATGAACATACCCGAAATGATAATGATTTTTGGATTTAGGAGTTTTTATTTTTGATGGATATTGTTCTTGTTGTCGTCGAGCGAGCAATGATTGAACTGTTGCCATGCTGATTTCTCTGCAAAATAAAAATATAAATCTCTTCATGGGAACTTTTAATTTCGCTAGAAAACGTACTGGTCTGAGCAAAGATATAAAATCTCTCGTAAAAATGTAGAATAACTTGATGGATTCTTAGAGATCGAGACCGATTCTGCACCTCTCTCTCAGAGGTTCTGATACTTTCTTATGAAAAAAAAACACAAAACAGAAGAAAAACAAATTGAAACAAAATGAATCTTTTATTACTAAGAAAAACATGTTTTTTCTATCTTTTACTGTCATCAATGAATTAGCAATCATTTTTAATCTTCACGATTATCTCTGTAAACTTCAAAATACCAAAATAGTCTTTCAATTTAAACAGACAAATTTCATAAAAAAAATGAAATAAACTACGTTTAGGTTGGTTCAACAAAATTTCATGAAGAAAAATAAATAAAATTTATTATTAGAGAAAGTTATTGTAACAAGTGATAGATAAGAACATCATTCAATAGTCCATGAAAAAGTAACAACAAAAAAACAAGTATAATGTTTCATCAATTATTTAATTAATCTTATTCAAAACAATAATTCAATGACAAACAACCTTTTTCATATCGTTTCATTGAATCAAGAAAACGTTGATTCTGAATATGTTCATACTGTTGTCAAGTTCTTTTGTTGTAGTCATATTGAACGCATAATCTTCGTTTCAATTACCACTCACTACATATAGATTTGGATTGACAGATGACAATGTTAACATTAAGTCAATAGTACTAACCATTTAATACGCACATGAGAATCAAGAAACCGAATAGCTACGCTCACATCAACTAGTCAAGCCTTTTTCTAACTTTTTTTTTTACTATTGATAATACTTTCTATAAAAATGTGAGGAGTCCACAAAAAATAAAATTTATCTCGTTTTACTTTTAGTCCCTCTAGTTCTTTTAGTTCCTTTTAGTCTCTGTCGACTAAAGAGATCTAAAAGGACCTAAAAGGACTAAAAGGAGTAAGGCATCTAAAGGAACCAAAGGTACTAAAATCACTGACTGCACTAATATTATTCTACTATATTCAGAAGGTGTGTAAGCATAAAAGTAAAACGGAATAAAAATCTATTTGTTCGTGGACCTATGACTGGCACTCAATTAAATATCTGATTTTATTTTTCTTTTTAAAATTATTTCAAATCATTGTGACTCATCAACAATATGTTCATTTTAATAAATCATACATATGTTTTTTACTATAGTGCTATCTCTTCAACGAAGTAAATATATGCGTAACAAGGAAGAATAAATAATTCAATAGTAGCAATCTAACAACAAATTTACGAATATTTAACATATACCAAATTTTACCTTCTTTGTTCATTTAGTCATTCAATAGTACGACAAAATTCTGTGCTTAATAAAGTATGTTTAAAACAGATAATACAAGATACGTGGTAATACTAGAAAAAAACCAGCTCCAATTTCAACTCGTTCAATTATTGTTGATTTACATAATTAAATAAAATGCTGAAAAATTGCAGAATTATTTATTATAATTAAACATTCGTATGAAATAAACTTTGGAGTATTAAAATTTGTAGAGTAATCGATTCTTCATTGATTTCTTCAAAAGAATTGAAAGGATTAAAGTTTATATTTATTAATTACTGCGCTATTTTCATGTCCTATTCCTTTTATGATATAATTATAATCAATGAAAACAAGTTGCACCATGCAATATAGCCACTTACATTTATTTCGACAAATTATGAAGATTGTAAACAAATCTATTCAATCAATGAAAACGAATAAATGCATGTCAATTTTTAGATAGATAAGACATCGTAATGAAGACTGAAATACACGTTTAGGGTGGAGTGTGGGTGTGGGTGTGGATAAATAGAAGAGCAGCACACACCCAGACCCTTTTATTTCATTAAATAAACGAATTATTTCTAGAATAGATATTTCTCCATGAATACCACAATAGAAAAGTTTTCCATAATCAGGTATTATATAAATACCAAAACCTTTTCCATCAGATTGTTCTTCAATAGATGTACGATAAAGAATACGCTCAAGATCAATTAATGTTAATTTTTGAACTATTTGATTAAATTGACTTGTTGGATATTTAAATTGATTTAATATTTGTTTTATATTAACAACTGATTGATGAATATGTGGAAGAAGCGGAATTTCTAATAAAATAATTAAACCTAATTGAAATTCTTCTGCAAATTCAATTGTTCGAAAACCAACATAATCAGAAGAATTTGATGAGTTTAATTTAATAAAACGACTTTTTTTCAATTGAAATTTTTTCATTGTAATAAATATTTAAATTTTCAAGTCCATTTATATATTCATTTGATCTTTGAAAATTTCTTATTAAATTTTTATCTTCTTTATTATTTATTGATCCTTCAAATATTATTTCATCAATTATTCCTTCTATTGATAATGGACTTATACGAATATTTTTATCATTTTCATCAATAAATGATGTATAAACTATTAATAATATTGATTTATGACTTTCAGGATTATGATGTGTTATTAATAAAACACTTTTTGATAATTGATCAACTAATAAGTAAACAATTTTTTTTTAATTAAAATTAAATTAAAATTAATACATATTAGAATTAATCTTAGAAAACTTTTTTTTTATTTATCTATTCTTCTCTATTTTGAAAAAACTTTATTTTTTTTAGTAAAACATTAATCTGTACATTAATAATAAAACTAAATTAAATTTTAGTTAATTAAAATTCGATAAACGAGAATCTAATACTCTAGAAATATAATATTCTCTTACTATAATTATCCTTTTATTTAATATTATATTTAATTAAGAGACAATTCACAAAAATCAGAAGACTACAAAGGAAAAAACAAAACGTCATTTATGAAGATTTTTCATAGATAAAATCGAATTTTTTTTTCACTTTTAATTATTAAAATAGTTATTTTAATAAATAAAAAAGATTTTTAAATTGATTTAAATTAATAAATAGATTTTTAAAAAAAAATTTTATTTTATTCTATATACAATAAATTATTTCAATAAGAAAAAAAAATCTTGTTTTTTTGTTTTTTCTATTTAAATTAATATAAATTGACTCGACTAAATAATAATTGGAAAATATATCATTTTGTTTTATTTACATATTAAACAAAAAAAAAATTGAACAAACCTGAGTAAAACCTTTTTGTGCAAGATGAATATGTAATTGATTAAGAATCTTTTT